TGTAATGAGAAAGTCACTGTATGATTTGTAATTTGTTGGTAAGTTTGTTCTTAAGAATTTGTGACAATCGCTATACAGCTCAACTATATGTTGATTATATTTAGTCTTGGATTGATTTATATTTTTTTAATAATGTTGCATAACTGTCGGTAGAAAGAGATTTGAGATAATAAGGGGTTGATTTGTTAAGAAATTGATATGTGTCGGGTTTTTTTTTATCTTTTGAAGGACAAAGGAATGATAATCTTGTAACACCCCAAAATTCACCCTGGAAGACATTACTATCTACAAACCATTCAACCATGAGAACAACTAAAAATAATCATTAAGTAATAAACCGTTCATCCATTTGACAAGGAATAAATAATAAAGCCAATAAAACATTGAAACTTCTTCAACTTACAATTAAAAACCAAAAATATTTAACAGCGGAATAATAAAAACTGGCTAAAACATTGTTTTATAAAAATCTCTCAAACTCTAAACCAAAAATAGATCAACTCTATCCCTATAGGGTAGGATCCACATCTTGATTCTCAAATGACTCGTAATCAATTTGCTCATCCACATTGACATCCTCTTCTATGCCAAAATTGTAAGTGGTGTTGTAGGAGGTGAGCAAAAGCCCGTAGGAAAATCTCTCTCAAATCACAACAAGGTCTAAAAACAATAAAAGATGACAAGTCTCTTTTGGAAAATAATATATATAGATTTTGAGAATAAAACCATGATAGTTGTAATGATCTCAAGTGTACGAAATATAGTAAATCAATGATAGGAATAAACTTGTAAGAGATTAAAACAATCAATAAATAACTCAGTAACATCATTTCATATTCTCATATATGTTGGTTCATCCCTATTATCATGTATGTTGGTTACTTCTCAGGAATTTACACAACGATTCTACCTCGTTCACCTATTACAACCACACAATCTCAATCATTCCCCGTAGGGCACATCACAAACACTTTAGGAATGACGTATACTGTCCCCCACGACATTAATGAATCTTTCTCAGAAAAGGTATATCATCCCTCAGTCTCAAACCTATGTGAACAATAGTGGTTGCTCTCATAAACAATAATTTACTACAAGTGTTAGGAAACCATCTCACCCCCACTAGAATAAACTAACTTCTAACACTTTATGGTAGTTCTCGAAGGCAATTCAAGTCCGTCACAACAAACCATACAAAAGATGAAACCAAAATATTCTCAACAACCACAATCTTAACCAATCACAATTTTCATTACCAATTTAAGTATCACAATTTCTCAATTCTCAATATACTATAGTAATAGGAGATTAAATTATGCAAGAGATCATCTCAAGAAAACCTTCATAATTTTGATATTCAAAATTCTAGGATTTTGCCAAAAATCCTAATTTCTTGGAACAAGAACAACTATTAGATGAGAACATAATTTAATCAAGTATAAGAATTTATAAATCAAGAATCCCTATGAATTTCACAATAGAACATGTATTTTGGAAAAATTAGAATTTTGGAAATTCAAGAACGAATATTCCTTAAACCCAAACATATATTTTGCTCAAAACTATGTTCCATTGATAAAGAAATCAAGAACTCATGTATATCTATCATATAATTATCAAAGAGATTGGAAACATATATAATTATACCCTAAGTCTCAATGAAAGGACTTGAGAAGAATCCTCTACCTCTAATCTGATGATTGCAGATAAACCTAGCGTGTTCGAATCAATCTCGAAGCGAGAATCCTCCTCGTGTTTCCTCTCTTTCTTCCTCTCAAGCTTTCTAGGGTTTTCTTGGATGAACAATTGCTAAACATAGGCCTAAGGGTTGTTCCTTAGCTATTTATAATTCTAAAAGTGAAGAAAACACTCAACAAAGATCGTCCAAGTTCTGCCCGATGCGTTCGCACGCTTGTCCATCCTGTTTGGACGCGTCTGACAGCATACCCAACTTTCAGCTTGATTTTGAACTAATTAGAAGTAGATTCACAAAAGTTTTGTGAAGTACACTGTTGTAGCCCTTGAAGTCTAGTTTCTGCTATCCAAAAATTAGCTGAATAAGAGTTAAGATTAAAAAGTTACGGCCAAATTACTAAGGTAGTGTCAAATTTCTTTCTACCAAAATCTTTTCCAAAATAGGTTTTAACTCCAAAATACTTCCTAACTTTTAATACACCCCATATTACCTCTTCCAAAGTTTCTCGACCTTCTGGATTCAATGAAACCTTATTTTGACCTAAAAATATTTACAAAATTACTCAGCCATACTTTTCAATCCAAACATCTCCAAAACTCCATTGGAGTGCAATGGTTTGTGTTGGACAATGCAATGTTTTGTGTTTGACAATGATACATACAATGAGATATATTAGCAATGTAGACAGGTTGAGATTTATTTGAATTCTTATTTTCAAAGGAAATTTTGTCAAATTTTTTTTGAAAAAATAATAGGGGCTAGATTTATTTCAATTTTTTTTAATTAAAACAAAAGAAAGAAAACTAATTTCAAATTAAAGGTTTTTTTAAAGTTGCAAAGTGCCTTTAGGTACGGGTTATTACTAGTATATATGTCAATTTTTTAACTCTCAAAAACATTACTCGTATTCTAATACCACCAAAAAATGTGCTATTATACTCCAAGCTAAATGTATTGTATTAAAAATTTATAATTATAACCCCACAACTAGTAAAATCCAACTATTAATGACCCACAATATACTTCATCTGTTGGAATTCTCTCATTCCCACTTCCACTTCCGCTCCTATCGTTCTTCGGTTTTCACAAATACAAAAAAGTTCTTTTTCTTTGCTTCAACATCAACAAAACAACAAGATTAAAATAAGATATGCGTCAATCTAGAGTATTAATCCGTAATCCGGCTTGAAAAATATTTCTTCGATGTGTTTTGAAGCACATAATTCAGGGGCTTCTTATTTTTGTTATGGGTTTTGATATTGTTTCATATTTTCAGTAATAGAGAGAGAGAGAGAGAGATCTATTTCTATTTTTTGATCATCCAACCTTGTATTATGATCCTTTAGATTTGCTTGTTATTGGTCATGTCTTTTTTGAATGCTATCTATTGGTGAAATTTACTAAATTGTGTTAGTGTAGTCATTATTTTTTTCCTTTCCAGTATTCATTGTTTTTTTTTTGCTTTCTTTAATGGAGAGACAAGCTCCTCACATTTTCCTTGGTGTTGTCACCATTATTTTGTGAGGAAAAAAATCTCTTACCTTAGCGTTCTAGAGTTTGACCGGGAAAAATGAGCATAGATTGCACCGTTCCTCCTGCAAAATGAGTAAACTGCTAGAGACCAGGGTTGGACCGATCAGAGGCACACTGATGCTTAAGTCAGTAAAGGCTCTAGCAATAGATAATCCAAATAGTAGGGAAGAAGTGCGTACCTTTGACTCAAGTTGTTGCCGGGTATTTATAATATCACATAGTGTACCCTCTTCTAGGATTTTTTCCTTTTGGCTATGCTAGGTGGCACACCTATAAAGATAGTCAGACTCTTCATTTCAGCGCTTATTTCCTCCGAATTTTCTATTTCTTTACCAAATTTAAAATTTTTTCCAATAATTTGGGCAAATTCCTTACGAATCTGCCATTACCTCTAACTTATGGGGATCATCTTGCTATCATCTTTAGGGAGTATTCTTGGTAAAGGTCCTAATTGTCATCTTGGGTCGGTTTTAGTTCGATTTGATTAATAACTTGACATATTCGTCAAAGCACTTCAATTTGTTGCTCGGTTCATCTTGCTGAGTATTGAGGTTATTGACTAGTTAATCATGAACAGTAATTTTATGCCCCTTCATTTGATCCTCAGGGAATGTCTGCCATGTGACAAATATTATTTGACACTTTTTTATTTTTCATCATTCGACATTAAATGCATATCATGGTTTCCTACAAAAGGACGTTTTGCACTTCTTTTCCTTTGCATAAACGCATCATATCTTTTATTATGAGTGTCCTTTCGCTTGTAGGTGTGATTATTTTGCACCTTTTTTGTGTTGTTTTTAAATGGTCGTCTTCCTTCATTTTCATATGTTATTGTACATTCGATATTCTCCTTCTTATGTAAGTGCCTCATTTCTTATTTTTCCTTTTCTATTTTTTTTCATTGGATCTTTTTAAGAGAGAACAGATAGCTAGCTTTCGATCCAAGTATGTTATCCCAAACGATGTGTTTATTAGAGTGGTGGGTGAGGATGAACCTCTATTAGGGTCTAGGGAATCCATCCCATCCCAACTAGAGCCATTATGGAGGGTGGAATTAGTTTTTCCCTCCACCTATTGATCCTTTGGGTCCTTCACTCACTGAAGCTTTGCCTTATTCTGTGCTGTCAAATTTCTTCAAGATAGTTATGGGGGTTGTTGCTTTGGAACATCTTAGGTGCCAACTTAGGTTTTTGGGAGATTCACTACAACTATATGATTGCCCCCACCTTTGAGAAAATTTATTATTTTAGGGCCAAGAAAACCAGGCGTTATTTGGTCACCCACCTTCATGATTCAGATAAAGGTCATGAACATGATTTTTGTCTGTCTCCGAGATCTAGGAAAATTGAGATGACAAGAAGGCTCGCTAAAATTGTCTGTTTAAGGAGGTGCATCAGGTGATTTTCATCAGTGCCCTAATTTTTCCTATGATTTATTTCTAAATCTCTAAATTTATTGTAGGAGAGTAAGTGAAAGGCAAGGTGCATGATTCAAGGGTTAACTTCTTAGATCTACAAAAAGTTTGGGAGTTTGGAGCTATGGACGTTTTTTGTTGAGGCGTGCATGCGCTTCTGGGATACGAACCTATCCACAAGTCCTTCATAATAGTCCCTTTATTGTCTTCTCAGAAATTGGCATCTCTAAAAGTTGCTTGGGGGAGTGAAGCATCGTCATCTACGCCGCCAAAGAATACTAGGAAAAGAGGGATGAGGCGAGATAAAGCTATGAGGAATTTTATTGATCTGGTGCTTGGTCTGACTTTGGGGCCATGTCTATGTTGGGTACTTCATTAGTGGTGGTTTATCCTCTGGTAGCACAAACCAAACTTGTTCCTCCTAATGCACAAATATCCTCATCTTTTTCATGGGAGAGTCTTATTATCCCCTCTTCAGGACGTCATTCTGTGCCAACTGAGGCGGAAGGTGATCGTGACCCAACAAAGGACTCTAATTCCATTACCAAGCTAGTTCGAAGGCAAACTGCTGTGAAGAAGAGGAAAGCCACAACTGAGCCATCTGCTGATAAGGCTAGAGGAGATCTGGAAGCCTTGGACGAGGGATCATGGTAGGGAGATTCATTTGAGGGATTCGGTGGTTAATGATGTCAATGTGGCAATCAGTCTGGCTAAGGTTACAATCCTTCCACCTGATCTATGGATTTTTGAGGATTTGGATGATAATTCTATGGCTCATAGTTCTATTCATCTAATGGTGGTGGTAAGTCATTAATTGTTCCTTATTTTCCCATGATCATTCTTCTTTCAATACTTCACCCACTTTTTGTTTCGATTAGGGCTTGCAACGAGTGCTTGATTTGGGAGCCCGAGCTATTAATAGGGGCAAGGAGGTAAAGAAGACCCTTCTGTCAAAGTCTTTGGCAGTGGAGAAGTGTGGGGTATTTGGAAGAGGATCCACAAAGGCTTGGAAGAGATTGCTTAGCTCTAAATTGAAGTTAAAAAATTGTCCAGTCAGAATAAGGAGCTCGATCAAAAGCTAAAGGTAGCTGAACAATCTAAGAAGGCAGCTTGTGATGTGGCTACTCTGGTGAAGGAGCTCAATTCTTCCATCCAAGTTGACTTGGAGACCATCTAGGCTTTATTCAAAGAAGTTGAGGACAAGGCTTATGATGAGGGCTTTGAGAAAGATGAGAAGGTGATGAAGGAGCAGGTTCCCGTGATTGAAGGGTTCTTTTTTAAGAAAGTATGGGATGCTGCCTTGGTGGAGACTAAGGTCCCTACTGATTCTAAGTTCTTCTCTAAGCATGTTGTGACCATCCTTTCCTCTTTCGGTGCGTCCCTTCCTCCTGCCGATCCTCTTGTCGAGCCTTCTATGATGAATGTCGCTATTGTCGATTCTCCTATCACTGGTCTCATTGATTCATCTGTTGTTAACCTTGTTGATATCCTTCTACTATTTTTGACCTTGCTACAAGTTCTTACAAAAAAACTTAGTTACTTATTTTCTCAGTTGTAATTCTTGCTCTATGAATGGAATATCCCGGGTTTTTGTAGTATTTTAGTGCAGAAATAAGCATGCTGTTAAGTTTATCAAATGCTGATTGAAAATGCATCATTCCAATCAAATGGTATATCTTGACATATAAGATTACACATTGGTCTGGTATCATAGTAAAATCTTTAATAAATCTTCTATAGAATCCTACATGACCTAGAAAGAATCAAACATCTTTTACAGTCTTTGGTGGAGGGAGTTTGACTACTACATCAATCTTTGACTTATCAACTTTAATTCCCTCTATAGAAACAATATGTCCTAGAACAATGCCTTGTATGACCATGAAATGACATTTTTCCCAATTCAAAACAAGGTTTGTTTCCTCACAACGAGTAAGGACTTTTTTGAGATTTTCTAAACATAATTCAAATGAATCACCATATACAGAAAAATCATCCATAAAAACTTCTTAGAATCACTCCATCATATCACTGAAAAATACTCAACATACAACGCTGAAAAGTGGCTAGAGTATTGCACAACCCCAAATGACATTCTTTTAAAAGCAAAAGTGCCAAAAGGACATGTAAAAGTGATTTTATCCTGGTCCTGGTCATCAATTGTTATTTTGCTTGATCTTTTTCTCTAATCTCTAAACACAAACCTAGATTTTGTGTATATGACTTATAGAATTTAGTAAATGTCAATCTCCCTCGAGTTCAATGCAAGAAATGGGGAGAATCATGTGGATGAATAAAAACGTGTGTGTGTGCAAAAGTACTCCCCAAGTGTAAAGAGACTTGCAATGTCGTGTTTTACTTGAAATGAGTATTCCAATGTCGTCTCCTAAGGGAAGGAAAATTCAAATGCTATTGAAGGGTGATTTGTAAAGAAATGAAAATGGAAAAATTTTGTGAATTTTGGTAAAAATGCAAGAAAGCCAGGTTGGCTAATCCATAGAGGTCATTCCAATGAGAATGCCAAATCGGCTCAATTCATTCAACCAATGGTGTCTCAATATTTGGTTTATTTGTAGGAAGTGAGGAACTAATGTGGTTGTGTTGGACAAAAGCATGCCCCATGATAAGTCTACGGTGTATCAAGAGTCCACAACTACGTCTGTACTCAACCTAGTCAAATCAAACACTTTACACTACGAGGAAGAATGAAAGAGAGTCGTTTTCACATGCCGAAGAGGAAATTCCCCTTGGATTAGCCAACTAAAAGTTTAGCTACTCATAGTAAAGGTAAGAACAAACATAATGTAAAGAAGCATGGTAGTGAAATGAAACATGAAACTTGTATTGATGCAAGAAAATGTTTAAACTACAAGAGCAAATTCATTCATACCCAAAATACAAAGCTTGAAGATAAAATACCCAATTGTAGAAATGGAAATACAAGAACACTTAGCTAAGCTTGATTACAACTTGAATAAAATAGATTAGAGTGCAAAAGGGAAAGATTAGAAGTAAAATAAAGCTTACTACAATGAAAATGATGAAGGAAATTTAAAAACCCAACTTTATCTCTCTAAAACTTCATCTTCAACCTTGGAGTTTCTCTCTCTAAAAATATGTAATAATTGAATAATGGTGTAAGACCCTCAATTTTTGGCCATCCTCTCACCTTTAGCATGTGTGAATTGAATTGAAATGATTGGAGAGAGGTTGTCCACTTGAACAAGCAATTTTAGTCCAAGCATGCTCCTCCCATGCTTTTCCAACCACCATCATCTCTTTCTTGCTTCCCTCTCTCTCTTACTTCAAATCTGACTTTAGGGGTTAGGAGAGCATCATGGAGTGTCAAACATGTCAGGGTATGGTTTGGTGGACAAGAGGTGGGCCCCCGGAGTAGGTGGAGTTGTGTGAATAGGTGTCTGATAGATCTGGGCAATACCTACTAGTAGAACACAAAAAACCTACTGGTAGAATGTAGAAAACCTACCGTTAGGTTTTTTCCAGTAAAATTTTCTATCGGTAGGTTTTTGCATGGCAAAGGTAGAAGATTTCCAATAGCATTTTCTACCAGTAGGTATTGAGTCTTTTACTGGTAAGTTTTGAATGACTTCTACCAGTAGGTCTTGGTTGCGTTCTACTGAAAGATTTTGTTCTACTTTGGGATTTCCTTGGTTCCTTGAGGTCCTGAGCCACCCGTTAAGTGGTCTCTTCTTCCCCATTGACTTTGAGCACTTGATGGGATGCTTTATACACGACATTATTTGTTTTTTTTATCTACAATCACACAAATCTCCATTAATTGTGAATTTGAAACCATTTCCCCAATTTTCACCACAAAACAAGTAATATGGGTGCAATAGAGATGCATGGTGTGCAATATTCTATACTCATCATTTTTCAATTTGGTTATAGCCGAAATATCCATCCAAAAAATAATAATATGCAAGTCCAGATATTCTTTCCAAAACTTGGTCTAGGAAAGGTAGGGAAAAATGATTTTTTTTTGGTAAAAGAGTTTAACTTCCGATATTCAATACACATACGTCAACCAATGACTGTACGCATAGCGACTACTTCATTTTCTTGGATTCTCACAACCGTAACACCAAAAGTTTTGGGTACTACTTGTGTAGGGCTAATTGATTTTCTATCAGATATATGATATATAATATCAACATCTAATAATTTAAGCAATTCAGCCCGAATGATTTCCTTTAAATGTGAATTTGATATTCTTTGTAACTGTAGGGATGGTTTAGATTCTTCTTCCAAGTATATACAATGATTACAAAGAAGATGACTTATTCCCTTATTGTCGATCACTATTCAACCAATTGCATTCTGATGATTTTTTTATAACCCTTATCAATTGCTTTTCTTGAATTTCTGACAACTTCGAAGATATCACCACTGGATAAGTTTCATCTTCTCCCAAGAAAACATACTTTAAGTTAGTCGGAAGTGGTTTCAACTCTAGTTGAGGAGCAATAATACTAGACTCAACAGACTTTGTTCCAATGGACAATAACTTTTCAAAATTTTGAACCCATGTTCCAATAGTGGACATAGACTCAATAGACTCAACATTATTTATAGACTCTAACAATGCATGTGACTTTTTCCTTATACAAGCATTTCAAACAGATTATGAGTTAATGACTCAGTGCAATTTAGTTCATGCAATTCTTCTTTCTCTTTGGGTTGCTTAGCAATATCACATACATTCAATTCCACATTCATATTTCCGAATGAAAGTTCCATGATTCCATTTCTACAATTGATCAATGCATTTGATGTAGTTAGGAATGATCGTCCTAGAATGACAGGAATTTGTGTAGAGACATACAAGACTGTCTATGTATCCAAAACAATAAAATCCATTGGAAAATAAAACTTGTCAACTTGAACAAGTATATCTTCAACGACTCCTCATGGAATTTTCATAGAATGGTCAGCCAACTATAATGTGACATTTGGGGTTTTTAATCCTAACTACTCATAAACTGAGTATAGGAGTAAGTTGACACTAGCTCCCAGATCAAGCAATGTTTTCTCAATTCTGAAGTTCCTGATTATGCATGAAATTGTAGGATTCCTGGATCTTTGTACTTTAAAAGGGTCTTGTGCTGAATGATAGCACTTGCCTGTTCAGTTAGAAATACTCTTTTCTGTACATTGATCCTTCTCTTTACTGTGCAAAGGTCTTTCAAAAACTTTGCATATGATGGGACTTTCTTGATTGTATCCAACAAGATGATGTTAATCTTCATTTTCTTAAACAACTCAAAGATCTCAGCATGATTATTTAATTGTTGAGGTTTCTTGATTCTTTGTGGAAAAAGGTAATGAAACCGGATTTGATTTTTCTTTTTCATAAGGCAAATCTATTTCCTTTTCAATCATTGATTCAAACTTGGTTGGTTCATTGACAAGGATTGAATCAGCTACTGGCTTGAGAGTTTTCTATTTGATGCTCTTGTTAATCACTTTACCACTTCTTAATGTGGTAATTTAGAACTGACTCGGAGAAGGTTCAAAAGATACAACATTAGCCTAGTTTTGAACTTTTGGAGGTTTAGGTTGAGATGAAAATTTCTCTTTTTGTTGTGCTCAAAGGCTGGGTCAATTTGGCTAGATGACTCATGATATCCTTAATACTTTGTGAAGTTTGAGCTTTAAAATCAATGAATATATGAGTAGACTAAGTATTAAAATTCATTTGACTTTGAATGAATTGATTCATGGTGTCTTCTAAACTCCTCTTATGTGGGGTTAATAAGGCTGGTACGACTGCTAAGTCTGAGGTTGTGGTGGAGGTGGACCTGGTTGTTGATTCACAGGCTATATGTTTTTTCAACTGAAATTCAGGTGATTTTGCTACCATGGATTGTAAGTTTCAGAGTATGGGTTTGAATAAGACTTGTTAAAGTTTGAAATGCATTGATTTATTCCATCAGAACCTCCTTGAAGGCTGGAATGGTGGGACACTCCCCCGTGGGATGTCCTGCCAAAGCACAGATTCCACACAACTGATCAGTAGGTGACACAACATAAACTTCCTTGACTTTTTTCATCTCTAGAGCATCCAAATTTAGAGACAAGATAGCCATTCTAGCCCATAGGTCATCATCCTCTTTTAACACATATTTCCCTTCCTGAGATTCGGATGACTTGGTTTCAATAATTTTTGGTGAGGGCGAGTTCCACATTTGGAAACTCTCAGAAATGGTATCAAAAAACTCAAATGCCTTATCGAGATTCTTGGCCATGAATTCTCCTTGGGCCATCATTTCAACAAACTGACGCGTTGTAGAAAGAAGAGCGTCATAAAAAAAATCAACTAAGGTCTAACTCTTAAATGCATGATGTGGACAAGCTTGGAGAAGATCCTTAAATCTCTCCTAATATTGATAAAATGTTTCTCTTTCTTTCACGCAAAAATTCATGATTTGACGTTTTAATGCATTACTGTGATGTACATGAAAAAATTTCTTGAAAAATTTTATTTTCAAAACTTGACAACTTGGAATGGATTGTACTTTCAAAGAATTTAACCAC